TGACAAAACCCATTTCATAACCCTAGACTAATTCGTGAGATGAATCTATTGAGCCTAATTAATCCATGATTAGCCTATATGATGCTACAGTAAACATTCTCTAATTATGGATTAATTAGGCTTAAAAAATTGTCTCGTGAATTAACTCTCATTTGTGTAATCAGTTTTGTAAATAGTCTATATTTAATACTCCAAATTAGTGTCCAAACATCTGATGTAATAGGGAATAAAGTTTATTCCCTGGATTCAAACACCACCTCAGTACATGCACTAAAAGGCAAGGATAACCAACATCGTGTGCTCCTCGCACATAAAAAAGAACGATCCATTAGTACGTGACTAAATAAATATTAGCTAATATATTTTTTAAAAATAGATTAATATGATTTTTTAAAGTGACTTTCGTATGGAATTTTTTTTTGCAAAAGAAGCTCATTTTTACAGTTTGAAAAGTATGTACCTGAAAAACGAGGTAGGGAAGTCGGTAACTCAACACACGAACAAAAATGCAAGTGGGTTGTGCACATAGCATGTCCCTTTGTTTATGAAACAAACAATACGGGCAGTGGGACTAGGGGTATCAAGTGCTGCCACAGAGTTGTTTATGGAACAAACGGACAACTTTGCCCAGTGTTACCACAATGGGGGAGACTAATGGGCGATTGATCGCCAGGGGGTGATCGGTTTGCCCCCCCCCCCCCCCCCGCGCCTCCCTCTTCTCCCCTTCCTCCTCCCTTTCTTCTATTTCTACTACAGTACACCACACAAATTTTTTTAAAAAACAAAAGTTAGAAAAATTTATGTATAGAAATACTATATATAAAAATTTGAATTCAAATTCAAATTTGAATCTCGGATATGTAAACTTTTGACTTATAAACTTTGGGTAGAAATACTATATATAAACTTTAGATGTATAGAAATACTATATATACAGATGTATAGAAATACTATATATACAAAATATTTGAATTCAAAATTAAATTTGAATCAGATATAATTCAAATTCAAATTTGAAATGGGTATATAAACTTTTGACTTATAAACTTTAGATCTATAAACTTTAGATGTATAGAAATACTATATATACAAAATATTTAAATTCAAATTCAAATTTGAATCGGATATATAAACTTTTGGTTTAGATGTGTAAACTTGAGGTGTATAAATTTTAGGTATATAAATTTACTAAAATAGAAAAGTAATGCAGTGCCAAAAAAGGAAACCAGGTGGAGGGGTGGAGCCGTGGAGGGAGGGAGGGGGGAGGGGATCGATCGCCAAACAGCATTTCCGACCACAATGTATCAAGTGGTGTCACAAAGTGAGCATCCACCCCCACAAAAAAAAAGAAAAAAATCATAAATAGTAACAAGAAAAGATTGCACTAACCAAGTGGAGTGATATGATTCTCAATAAAAACGAGGAAGGGGGAAAAATAGTGATTGGCCTCAGATAATTATGGACGAGATGAAAACAACATGTATGGTAACCACACTTCCTGGGAAGATTTTTCTTCGTTTAGTATATGTGGAATACTGGAATCTACACAAATACTATTTGGCTAGATTTCCCTGTAGTCTTATCATGTCAAAGAGGATTTTTTTTTCAGGTTCAAGTGTTCTCTACTGAGTTTTATGTGTCAAATATCATTTTCTCAAATATCCCATACGTATCTTCAGCTACTCAGTAAGGTCTAATCGTCAAAGATATGGATCAAATTAATGATCAATGCGAGTGAATCCTATTCCACACCGAGGGACAAAATATTCTGTATATGCATGAATTTATCGAGTTCATCAAAACTTGAAGAAACTGAATAGAGAACTGTCGATATGGAAACAACTGAAAAATGTTCATAGATTACAAATCGAACAGATCAGTTTATAAGAAGTTCGGCTGAATTCTGTTGCAACATACTACTACCATCTTGAGACAGATAATTTCTCTTATTCCCTCTGCATTTGCTCGAGTTGCTAGCAAAACACAAGGCGGTCGAGCTAAAAAACGTAAGTTTATAAGGGTGTGTTTGGTTGGGCTGTGGCTTTTAAAAAAGTAGCTGTGTGCTGTGACTTTTTGAAAAGTAGCGGTGGAATATGGGCTGTAACTTTTGAAAAAGCTCGTTTGGTTCAACAGCTGTGGCTTTTGATATAACTAGTCCCGCTGACAAGCGGGCCCAACATGTCATACACACGTGAAAAAAAAAAGAAAAGGGAGATGGCCATGGCAAAGAGGAGCGGCGGCGGCAGTTCGGCGAGGAGGACGCGCGGCGGGGCGGCGAGGACGCGCAGCGAGCAGGACGTGCGGCGGGGAGGCAGACGCGGCGGCGAGGAGGACGCGCGGCGGGGCGGCAAGGAGGACGTGCGGCGGGGAGGCAGACGCGCGGCGGCTCGGCGAGGAGGAGCGGCGGCGGCGGCTCGTCAGCTCGGCGAGGAGGACACGCGCGCCGCTTTGCCGGGATGTTGCTACCTTGCCAGGAGGAGAAGGGGCGTCGTCAGACGGGGAGGAGAAGGGGCGGCGCCACCGTCGAGCGGGGAGGGGGCGGAGTGGGCCGGCGGGGACGAGAGGAGGAGCGGCGGCGTCTTGGCGAGGAGGAGGAGCGACGGTGGTGGCAGCTCATCGAGGCGACGCAGCGTCGGGCGGGGAGGGCGGCGACCAGTGTCAGGCGGGGAGGGCAGGGAGGGCGGCGGCCGGCGTCGGGCGGGGAGAGCGGCGGTAGGCGTTGGGAGGGGACGGCGGCCGCTGGCTGGCCGGAGGGCAGATGCGCCGCTCCATCCCCGCGTCGGGCGCGTGTGACGAAGCGAGAGGAGATAGGAATAGAATGTCGAACCGTTTTTTCATAATGGCAGAGGTGGGTAATTTTTTCTCTCAAAAGCGGGTGAAAGTAGGGGTAGAGGTACTTTTTATTTGTACTACACTAAAAGCTGGCTTTGAGCAAAATAGCTGTGACTTTTGAACTCTTTAGTTGGCTTTTAGCTTTTACAAAAGTAAAAGCAGGTTAAAAAACCTAACCAAGCACATCCTAAATCATACTAATTGTTGAGGCCTGAGGGGATTCTGAGGCTGTTTTTGTTGCCACTGTGAGGAGGATAGCCTGGCCGGACGTGCGCCTATGTCACACCGGAACCCGGCAGGAAAAGCAGGCGGAGCCGGGCTTCTCGTCACGTCTCTCTCCCTGACAGCCCTGCCGCTCAAGTCCCTGAGCGGCGCAGCATAACCTTTTTGGGCTTGGGGTTGAAACTGATACTCTGGACGAATCGCTTGCGCGCATGCGTTGCCACTCCTGTCTTGTCTTCGCTAATGCACGGGCACGCCCGGCGGAGCGGAGGTTCAACTAAACTACTGGGAGCATTCGTAGGCATAGGGGTGGGCAGAAAAAGACCGAACCAAAAAGATCGAGATCGAGAAATTCGGTCCTACGTAGTGAAAGACCGAATTTTGTTCGGTCAATTCGGTTAGTCTCCTTGGGTAACCGAATAGACCGAATTATCAAAAAATGTCTAAATACAACTTACAATCCACTATGTTTAATAGGATTAAACTCTAATTTTCACATCCCTACTTCTTCTAGGCATGCAACCTAATAAGAGTCTTTACTCATAAGTGCTTACGAATTTTTTTGTGATTTTTGTATTGAAAATTTCCATTATTTTTTTGCATATATGAAAATGTTGTTGAGTTTCGGTCAAGACCGAGACGACCGAGACCGAATTTGTCAGTCTTGACATTTTTTCACTGAAATTCGGTCTTCACTTTTCAAAGACCGAAAGACCGAAGACTGAGACCGAAATTTTCGGTTAGACCGAATGCCCACCCCTACCCTGTTTAGTTCATAAAAAAAAAAGTTCACGTCGTCACATCAAAAGTTTAGACATATGCATGGAGTATTGAATGTATAAAAAAACAATTATACAGACTGCGTGTAAATTGCGAGATGAATCTTTTAAGCCTAATTGCGTCATGATTGGACAATGTGGTGCTACAGTAACATCTGCTAATAACAGATTAATTCGGCTTAATAAATTCGTCTCGCAGTTTCCTGGCGTAATCTGTAATCTGTTTTGTATTAGACTATGTACGTTTAATACTTCAAATGTGTGTCCGTTTATCCGATGTGATGACTAAACCCAAAAATTTTCCCCATCTAAACAAGGCAGTAGGTTGGGCCATTTCGCCGAAGGCATTCAAAGAAGAACTTCTATTCCCCGGTCACGGAGGGCTTAGTTTTTTTTTTTTAACACCACGGAGGGCTTAGTTGAAATGGCTCTGGTGATCAGGGGAGAGGTGGCAATTCTTCAAGTAGGTGCCGTCAAAGTAGCTCACTGGGAGGCATGTTGTCGTCAAAATCAGGAGATCGTCGCGCTCGGGCAAGATAAGCATCGCGTCATGGCCCAGCTCGGAGGAGGAGCTCGTCGCTGCTCGTGCCTCGCTGAGAAGAGGCCGAGGCTTTTCACCCTAGTGGCAAGGACAACTTCGGTGATGGCAACGATGAAGTCAAGAGGCACAAGTTCGAGGCGTATGCCGTGGCGTGGCTTCCTGCCCCTGCGCTATTGCTCACCGTTGTCGTCCTCTACGACTATGACACCCCTGGAGCCGACACAAACATGGGCCGCTGCCTGCTTTTGGATATGGTCTCTATCATCCACTTCCCCCTAGATCCACGAGGTTGACAACTGGGCCTTAGCAAGGGTGGGGTCAGCCACATGATAACTCAGCGCAGTCGAAACACCACGTCAATTAAAAAAGCTTCTAAAACCATCAAGGAAGTCGGTTTTAGAAATTGGAGGATGCTCCATATCTGATTTTGGGGTTAAAGGATGCAAATCAAACTCGGGCTATACCTGAGGGACGTAAATTATACTTTGTTCCAGGAGTATTTCGGCTCTCTACGTAGAAATCTGGCCCGGCCCAAAAGCACAAGCGATCCAATCGAGCGGACTCGTGGGGCTACAGCCCGAGAAACACGCCGCCGGGCAAGTCGACTCTCTTGCTTCTCAACCTTAAACCCTAGCGCCGCTTGAAACCCCTCCTCCTCCCTTCTCCCTCCACACTGCGCGGCGGTGGCCCAAGGCCGGCGAATCCCCACCTCCTCCTCCCCCCTCTCGCCTCCGCCGCGCGGGGGGCGGCCGCCGCCTCCTCTCCTCGCCCGCCGCCACCTCCCCCCACTTGTTTCTGGGCAGAGCGCGCGCTCGCGAGCTCGAGGATGGCCGACGTGCGGCCCGACGAGGTTTGGTTGCCGGATCATTCCCAGTGATTTTGCAAGTCGTAGCATATATTCCCTTTGCTTCTCAGTGCTAGAAATTTCATCTCGTTGCGCTTGTTTTGGTGTGTTAGAACGCGTACCGATATGCTTACGATTAAGGTTGGGGCGCTTCAGTCCTGAAAGGTTTTCAGGAAAAGCATGGCCTATTTGTGTCTTGTCACTTTTCACTGACTGTCTTATTTTTTTTCTTTTGGTTTCGAGTTAGTGGGGGATAAATCGCATGATTCTAATTGGACTTTTAGTGTACATATGTATATTGCAGTTTGAGCCTTATTCCTAGGTGATCATTTACGGTCTGCTGTTAAATGGTTTTGCTTCTTGCGCAGGCCGCATCAGAGGAAGTGAATTCTATCCACTTCAGCTTCTACAATGATGATGAAATTAAGAGGATCAGTGTTAAACAGATAACAAAGTCGGATCGTGTCGATGCCAAGAACTGTCCTGTGCCAGGTGGATTACTTGACCCAGCAATGGGACCCACGAATGATACTGACACGTGAGTACCTATCCAACTATTGAAATCGCGCTTCGAGTGAACACTTGTTAATTACACTTAATCCTAGAGATCAGCTCACATGGAACTGATACAATCTTTGACTTCAGAACAATCATGGGTAGCATGTGTTTTATTTTGCAACATTAGGGTCATCAAGATTTAGCAGATTTCCGGTTCTTTTGGATATCAATTTGTACCTCAATAGTCAGCCTAGAAAATTTAGATTAAGGGTCTGTTTGGCAGAGCTCTAACTCCTAAATTTAGCTCCAAGAGTTGAGTTTGGAGTGGAGTTGATTAAACCCAGCTCCACCTCTCCAGTTCGTTTTGTGAGAGCGCTCCACCCAGCTCTGCTCCCATTTTAGGTGGAGCTAAAACTGTTTGGCTAGGCTCCAGCTCCAGCAGAGGTGGAGCTGGAGCTGTGCCAAACTGACCCTAACATACTAAACAGATCTTTAATTTATTTTTTAAAAGTTAGTTTAATTTGTCCGGCACTTTCAATCAAATTACAGTATTGACCATTCATGCATTGGATGTCTTATCATAGCATTTCAAATAGATTTTATGCATGATAGAATCAATTCTAAGAGGTCATTTGAAAATGGATTATCACTGATCAAGGATTAACTTTTGTCAGTGCTTACAACGTGAGGATTACCTCATGTCTGTCTGCTTTTTTTTTTGGGATCATTATAAAAGATAAGTTTTATTAGGTACTAAGTTTATTTGAATCTATAATGCTACATGTTTTGAGGGACTATTTTTGTTTTCATTTACTTTAACTCGGGGGTATATTTGATGCAACCCTTGAAGTTTCTTTTTGCATGTATCTTTTTTTTTTGGGAAAATTAGAATTTTCAGTTTTTGACCATGTCTAAATTTTATGTACAGCTGCAAGAGTTGTGGTCAGCAGTCCATTCGCTGCCCCGGCCATTTTGGCCATATCGAATTGGCGAAACCACTATTTAATCCATTGCTTTTTATGAGTCTTAAAAACCTTCTCCAGGTTACGTGCTTCCATTGTCACAAGTTCCGGTTGAACAAGGAACAGGTGTGCCCATGTTCATCTTATTTATTTTGTTTTTCAATTTTCTTTATCTTGGAGCATTCAAGGTTCTGTCGCATCACTAAAATATTTGATTTTCTGTTTACTTTATTAGGCAGACAGATACACAAATGAGCTTGAACTATTAGTAAGAGGTGATATTGCTCATGCTAAAAATTTGGAAGACTTGGGTGGCAAAGTACTTTCGAAAGAAGATGATGAAACTGAGGCCACTTCAGGTGATAAATCGGCTCGTTCGGAGAGGGAGAATAAAACTTGGACATCGATCCAACTGAAGGAGGCTCTTTCGATTTTCTCAAAGCTAATGAAGAAAAGACAGAAGAAATGTGCACATTGTGAAAAAAAGAATCCAATTATCAAAAATCCTATATATGGTTGGTTGATCAAGGTACCCGTGATGATTTTAATGGCTTAAATCTTTTAGGCAGTACCATCTAACCCACAGGTTACATTGATTTTTTAAAGATGAACACGTGTCTTCCTAAACCATGGATAGGGTGCTGGTTGACGTCAGCCTTACGATACACGCTTCTCAGGCAGTGCAATGTAGAGGCACTTCTGTAAAAGGATTTTTTTTTTTTGGGGGGGGGTGTAATTCCTTTTTAATGATGGGTGGGAAGTATCCCAACAAAATTCCAATCTAGTGGCATGACAGCAATTAGCCTAACAGGAGTGATAGAACGGTGCCGTTAAACCATAGTGGCAGAAATGCAATTGGCCCATGTTATCACCCGGTGGTGTAAATATGAACATCAAATATAATCTAGCAAATTTTGGATGTTGTAGTATGTTATAATTCCACACAATATTTTATGATTAGATTCAGTGGCATATTAGAGTAAACAACAGAGATAAAGTTTGGTATAGGTTGCGATTTTGTACTGTCCACCAGTACTCTTTATATATATATATATATATATATATATATTTAAAAATTGCTTCTCAGTCGATTTTAGCCTTTTTTTGGTAAGGTTTTATAACATCTCTTTCCTTGCATTAAGCTTATCCTTCTCTTTTCCATTCACCCTCTGGAAAGGGGAGGGTAAGCTATGGGTAGGGGGGGGGGGGTGGATGCCACTCTGTGGGAACCTGTTTATCAACTAAATGAATATAAAATTCATAGTATGCATTAGAAAAAGCAAAGTGATTTCCCCTTATTTTATTGCACTACACTAGGTCAAATGGTACTGACAGAGTGACCGGTGTGTTTGCAATTTTTTACGGTATATTTATGGGTAGGTCAGGTTGGTTGAGTAAGTAGGCATGCTCTTTGCCGAGGTCGTGTACCTTTGCATGGCATGATTTAGCATCCGTCAGCAGCATTAGCAATTTCGCTTTTTCCTTGATGATATCTTATACTTCTTGGAACTGATATGTCTGTTGCATTATAGTTCTTCACTATTCACTACATGTGGTTTGTAGGATACAACTTCTTCCTCTGTAAGAGCAAATGCGATTGCCAATGCTAAACTGAGTGGAGATGGTCATGTTAATGACTCAAGAGAAACTGGTGTTTCCGGTCTTGATGAAGAACTAACTTCACCTGGTACTTTGTCCAGAAGATCAACCAATGAAACAAGACGCATTTCTGATGATACAATCAAAGAAATGGTGGCATCATCAGGAAAGAAACATCTCTTGACTACAGAGGTTATAATACTGCTATCTGTTTGAGTTTAAAGGAAGCCTTCATCAATGCAGTACCTTATGCAAGTTTTTGTTCCACACTACTGAGCACGTCCTTTCTCAAATGCTTCAGGTTGAATCTATTCTGAAAGATTTGTGGAAAAAGGAAGCAAGGTTCTGCATGTTACTATGTGATTTCCAACAGAATACATTGAGTGTATCAGAAAAGAGAAGGGGCTATGAGATGTTTTTCTTGAAGAATCTGCTAGTGGCACCGAACAGATTCCGCCCCTCAATTAGCTCTAGTCTTGGAGTAAGTACATCCTGCTGGTATAACTGACTAAATCCTGTTCTGAAGTAACTAACCGCTTCTGTTATGTGACAGATCATGGAACATCCACAAAATGTTCTGCTCAGCAAAGTGCAAGAGTCCAATCTTGCGCTTCAGCAGAGTATTGCTGCTTCTAATCATATGGAAGTTCTTAGAAGATGGATGGATCTGCAAAGAAATGTAAATGTGCTGTATGATAGTAGTAAAGGCCTTTGTAAGTATATCTCCTTCTAATGTAGACCACTCCCCTTTATTTTCGTTGCTAACACATAAAAAGCTAAGGTGCATCTTTTCACATAACTACCTGGTTTCCCTGCAAAAAAAAAGACATAACTACCTGGTTAACTTCTTGAAATTTGACCTCAGAGCAGCGAAGTCTTATGTGCTTTTGTTGCATAAAATTGTTGTTGGACATAATTGTAAACAACTTACGCTCTTATAAGACGGAATTCATCTCAGAAGAATATATTCAATTCAAACCAATGAACTTCCTGGATCATTGGCCCATGTGCTAGTTGGAGCAAGATCATGATTCATGAATGCATGTTACGTTCTCTCTTTTGTAGATGCATTCATGCATCCCTTAAAAGAAGGTAGTGGTGGTGGCAGTGAATCTGCCACCCTACCTATTTTCATTGCAAATTACCCCCTTGAACTTCTTTATATTAAGAAACAATCAGATCTAAATGGATATACACATATAAATCAAATCGATACTCCTTTTAAAAGAAAAAGTAGTGGTGGTGGCAGTGAATCTGCCATCCCACCTACTTCCATTGCAAATTACCCCTTGAACTTCTTTATATTAAGAAACAATCAAATCTAAATGGATAGCCACATGTAAAATCGAATTAAGGTGAACATTCCCTATAGAGAAAAATGTGGAACACAATATTATAATAAATTTTCTTTTAGTAAAAGATTGTCTCACTCTTTTACATTTTCGAAAGTGAGAGACAATCTTGACTCTGACCGTGCTTGTATATATGGGTTCTAGTGGTTTCTCTGTAGATGTTGTTGAGTCGATTATCTACTTTATCATTTCAGTTTCTGGGTTACATATGTTTTTCCAGACGAGAAGGGATTGTTAAAAAAAAAAAAACCTCACCAACAATGAATTATGCTCCCTTTTTATGAATTGTGATTTAATCTAAAAATGTGCCTAGTTCTATTTGGTAGTGTTGAGATGAACTATTAATTTATTAGGTAATGCTTAGGAACGATCTTTTGTGTGCATTTTGTTTTGATTAATGAAGTTTGTGTTCCATTTTGGAAATAAAGAACAGGTGAGATATAATATTATCTTCACTACTGGCTTGGTGTTACAAGCATAAATGTGCCACTATTTGCTTTCCCATAACTAAAAAGTTAAGAGTGGTCTCTAATGTTTATGCCTGACAGCAAAAAATGAGAAGAATGCAAATGGTATAAGGCAGTTGTTGGAAAAGAAAGAAGGGATTCTTCGACAGAAGATGATGGGTAAAAGAGTTAATTATGCATGCCGGTCCGTTATATCTCCAGATCCATATTTGGCTGTTAATGAAATTGGAATTCCTCCCGTTTTTGCCACACGATTGACATATCCCGAGGTACCTGCATTGACCTATAATTGTTCATTACTATCAATTTTTAAGCATTGACCTATAATTGTTCGTTACTATCAATTGTTAAAGTAACAATGTATATGTTTATGCTTGTTATATGATTATTTCAAATGTATTATACGTCAATTATCACCTTTTTGTTCATTGCTGTAGATTCTTGTTATGTTACTTTACTATTACTATGATGATAGATTGATACTATACACTGAAGTCCTAAAAATGTCCAAACTCCTTACAGTCCAAACTACTTTACTATGATGTTATCTTTGTTCTTTGAAGCTCAAATTATATTTAAGCTGGTTACATATGAAAATACATGCACCATCTTTTACATGAGTGAACTTACAGTTGCATATGACTGTTTCTTAATGATCTATATTTTTATATTGAGTCATCTGTAACAATTGATTGGTTATACTTCCTAGCTTCTCTATTTCCATTTAGAGATCTTGTAATATATAGGGGTAGGTGCCTGAGATATGTGTATGAAAGTCATCTAACTGAAAACTACATATCTACTTTGGAAACCAGATTTCTTATACCCATAAACTATAGGGGATGGAACCATTTGAACCGTGAATTAATTACTTTTCCTTCTTGGAGCAGCTTTTACATCATTTCTATATTGTTTCACGTGCAGAAAGTGACACCCTGGAATGCCAGAAAGCTACAAGAAGCTATAAATAATGGTGCTGACATTCATCCTGGCGCAACCCATTACAGGGATAACAACAACATGTACAAGCTACAAGCTGCCCCTCCCAAACGCCGTGCGATTGCTAAGATGCTACCTGCTTCTAGAGGATCCATTTCTCAACCAGGGAAAGATCCCAAGTGTGAATTTGAGAGCAAAGTGGTATATCGACACCTTCAAGATGGTGATGTTGTACTAGTCAATCGGCAGGTATAACTATTTGCTAGTTAGTAAGCTTGTGTTTTCTTCAGCAGTAATACATGAAAACAATACTAGTCTCATTTAATAGTTATTTTCTGCTTGGTAATCTTGGTATTTCAAGGCGATTTCCCTCCAAATTAGTATTGTAAAGGTGTCTACCTATCCCAATTCCCCCCCTCTCTCTCCCCCCTAGGGTGCCACCTTGATCTGTCTAATTGATGGTATGGCGCTGGTCTACCACTTGAATAGCACCTAGAGCCTTGTTGAGCACTTCTCCAAATACCCATACTTGTTACTTGATGCACAATAGTTCAGTAGACAGGCTCACAGGCAGCATTTGTGAAATTGTACTAACATCCTACATCCTTATATTATTCTATTTGACAACCAAAATAGGCCATGGGAATAACATGTGAAATAAGGATTTTTAACTCTTATGACTGGATTTGAATTTTGAGATGACATAAATAATTAGACTAGATCTACTACATAAATCCATTTGTGTAGGTCCATCAGTTGTAACAACTAGCAATACTGGTCAGATCAGTCAGAATGGTGCACATGTCTCAGTTTGATTAAGTACTTCACTTTGTTTCTAGAAAGGATACCCAGTTCTAAGAGCAAATTGGAAGTTTGATTTACAACCACCAACTACTACACTACAAGCATACTTTACTAAGATGTCGTGCAGCGAGGTTATGAGAGTATATCGCTATCACCCGTTTTATCTGTCTGCAATGTTGTATCTCTGCAATGTCTCTAATTTCATTTTTCTTGTGATGTGAAGCCTACTCTTCACAAGCCCAGCATGATGGCACATGTTGTTCGTGTGCTACCTGGAGAGAAGACAATTCGAATGCACTATGCTAATTGCAGGTATTACAACATATCTTCAGCAACACTGCCTATTTGTCTACTTCTGTTGATCAAACACTGTATTTCTTTTTAGCACATACAATGCTGATTTTGATGGAGATGAAATGAATGTGCACTTTCCACAAGATGAAATATCTCGTGCTGAGGCCATCAACATTGTTGATGCAAATAAGCAGTACATTGGTCCAAGGAGTGGGGATGCTGTCAGAGGCCTCATTCAGGTAACACTGTGCATATGCAGTTGGGATGTTTCGGTTCTTCCACACTGTTGCTGTTGAGCACATTCAGTGGTGTATAATCAGGCTTCCCCTTTCCTGTGCATCTATCTATTTAAATCAGTGAACTCATCCTGTCAGTAATATATTAAAAATCACACTATTTTTATTAATGCTGTAACGGTTATTTTTATATTATAAGCTCGTTATATTCCACCTTTTTGTAGGACCACATTATTGGTGCTGTACTCCTGACAAAGCTGGACACCTTTCTAAGCCGTGAGGAATATAATCAGCTTGTATATGGGTCTGTGCTCTCTTCAACTCGTAGATCTGGTCAGTTTGGTAAAAAGATATCTATTATTATGGATGATGATGCACTCGAACCTGTACCTCCTGCTATTTGGAAGCCAAAGCCCCTATGGACAGGAAAACAGGTTGGATGTTTTGAAGTTACCATTGGCTTCAATCTCCAGTTCTTCACAATTTCTTTAATTTTAGGTGCGCACCTCTTCTGTTTATACAGGTTATAACAACCATCTTGAACCATGTAACAAAAGGTCGCCCTCCATTTACTGTGGAGAAGAAGGGGAGAATCGAAAAAGAATATCTAATCCCTGAAGAACGCAATGGTGATAAAGTTAAAACTATAAATCCTTCAGAGCAAGTTTTGTATGTTCATGACAATGAGCTCATAAAAGGCATGATAGATAAGGCCCAGTTTGGGAACTATGGGATAGTTCATACGGTTCATGAACTATATGGTCCAGAGACAGCTGGAGTACTACTCTCATCATTCAGTCGCTTGTTTACGATGGTCCTGCAGGTGAGTTTCAACTCGTTATTTCCATATTTTCATTGTTCATGGCTCGTCAGAATCAACTGAAAAGCTCGTATCTGGTCAATTACTTGTAACGAAAAATGTTATTCCTCATCACTCCTTGAATTTATTGAGACAGCTAAAACATCGTTTGCATTTGATTTGTTGGCAGCAGAGCCAAACTATTCTTCCTTGGAATTTTGCATTTCATTTGTTGGCTGAAACATGGTTATACAATATCACACTTTTGAACATGTAGAGGGACTAAGGATGCTAAATGAAGGAAAATAAAATACTGGGTTGAACCAGTAGTTAAGACTCTTTGAACAGGCTAATCCACTTTGTTGAGCTGACTTTTTATTTTTATTTTGGGCTAAAGGGCTGTTTGTTTCATTGCCATTTTTTTTGGGGGCTAAGGGGCTTTTTGGTTCTTTGCCATAGCTTGCAATGCCCTTTTTTTTTTTTTGGCAACGGTAAGATTTAGCCATTGCCAAAATTTTGGCAATTTGTTTAGATCGCTTCCAAAGTATTACCCATAGCCTATGCCAAACTAATAATTTGGCAATGACAAATATTTGGCATGGTCGAGTTTGACTAAGAACCAAACAAACCCTAAATGACTCAATGAAACTGGCTGAACTTTGGGCCATATCTCCCTTGTCAAGTGGCAAGCACAGAAAGTTTAGTTCTATGGTAATGCGTACCCAATATCTATGGGCAGTGGATGATGTGAGAAGTACTCAGCTGCTGAGTAACTGGATAGAACTTTTGTTTTGCCCATGGAAACACTTTCTATTTCATTTACATGTAGTGGCTGCTTTCTATATTTTTTTTCGCACATTAACAATATAGTGTAAGAGAACTCAATGGACAAGCAAAATACCCTCTCAAAGTTTTTAAAACCAATTTTTTGGACTAGTGAACCTTAGCCTTCCGAACTTGTTTGGGACTAAAGAGCAGTGTTGATTGGGTCCCATCCAGATAGTTGTGATCTACACTGAAATAGTATGTTGATCCACCTTTTTCACTTAAAGTTATTCTTTAGTTGGCATATGAAAGTTCAGTTGTAATCAAGTCTTTTGTCTTAAATACCACCGAATTGATCTTTGCTGAGTAGTGTCATCATATTTTATGAATTGTACTGGGCTTAATGAATCAATATATCCAAATATAGTTGTGGATTTCATTGTAATTGTCTGGCCCCACTATTGTGGCTGACATTGTTATGTTAGTTTTGAATTTGAATCTGACTAAACTTGCTCTGATCAACAACCATAAGCTGCTATGCCATATAAGATCCAATGTCTCAAAATATAGTCTACTTATTATCACCTTTTTTTTTCAAGCTGTTCTATTGTTTTGCATTTGACTTTCTTTTATTTTATAATTTTATTTTCTTGTTATTTTGGGTGTGATTATTCTTATTTGTGATATTGTAATTGTAAAATTAAGAACATTTATTTTCTTTCAGTTGCATGGATTTACATGTGGAGTAGATGATCTGTTACTATCCCAAGAGTCAGATATGACGAGAGAGGAAATTCTTGGAAAAAGTGAAAAACACAGTAAAATAGTGCATATAAATTTTACACGTCCCAAAAAGGATGATAAAGCTGAAGCTAAAGCTGAAGATATACGCCCCAAAGAGGGTGATGAAGCTGAAGATACACGCCCCAAAGAGGGTGATGAAGCTGAAGATACACGTCCCAAGGAGGATCATGAAGCTGAAGATAGTACACATCCCAAAGAGGATCATGAAGCTGAAGATAGTACACATCCCAAAGAGGATCATGAAGCTGAAGGTGATGATGAAGGTTTGTGGAATATCATCGTTACTGAAAACACTTTCTACCATTTTTTGAGAATGTTGAATCTCTTTCCCTCTTACTCTATTACTCACACGCACTCATGCGCACAGACATTAGATAGCTCTATGGAAGTTAAAGGAAAATAGATAACTAAAGCACTTAAACTAACTTTGAGCAATGCGAGCTAAAGAATACTACCTTGATTGATTTTATAAGGCATACCTTACTTCCAAAGAGACTTCAAGATTAGGCCATTAATTTCTCATAAAGTATTTTCTTAATATCTGCAAAAACCAATATTGTGTAAACTTGAAATATGGTATGATATAGTTTTATATAGTAAATGTACTTGTACTAATTATCGGTCAAAACATGAAAATGTGGCCTTTCGAATCAAAATAGAGGCTCTAAGGATCAAGGGGAGAGTTGTTTACGACTTCATATGCTTCTCTATAATGCCACCATCAGTTGCATGCTGATTGTTTAATTTCTAAAATTACACAGATCAAATGAAATTGCAAATGGAAGTCGAAAAAATTATACGGAGGAATGGAGAATCTGCGACTGTTATATTGGATAGAAATATGTCAAGTGAACTGAATACTTTAACATCTAAAGTCAATAAAAAAGTGTTTCCTTATGGTCTACGGAAGCCTTTTCCTGGAAATTGTCTCTCTCTTATGACTCAAACTGGAGCTAAAGGTGGTTTGGTAAGTTTTTTTTTCCCCTGTAGGGGCTTACTGCATATGGTACTTTTCTTTGGATGAGCATGCTTAGATTTACTTCACCTGCTTGGGTTAATGTGCTTCCATTTCATTTTGTTGCTAGGTCAACATGACACAAATTTCATCATTGCTAGGCCAGCAAGAATTAGAAGGAAAGCGTGTTCCACGAATGATTTCTGGGAAGACGTTACCTTGCTTTCCACCGTGGGATACTTCTTCAAGAGCTGGTGGTTTCATCGGTGATCGATTTTTAACTGGTCTCCGTCCTCAAGAGTACTATTTTCACTGCATGGCTGGCAGAGAGGGGTAAACTTTTCTGATGTTTGAAACAGTTTTCCTTGAGTGCTCAACCTGCTATGAGTGGAGTGGAAAATAGCCTTCAAAATTTCCTGCCATGAATTACTCACTCTTGTGAGTTTATTGGGGATCTCAGAATCCCCCTTTTCTTTGTTTGGTACACACAAATAGCGTTATTTTTTAAATATTTTTGAATGGCATTTTATGCGCTCATGCGTACACCAGCCGCTTTCCACTTTGGCAGGCGGCATTGGTGAAAGGCAGGCAATTTATGTTTTGAACAGCTCTGGGATATCCATGTTTTAGTTGGATTGGATAACTGTTTGGGTATAGATTTATTGACTACAAAATATTTTTATTTGAACAGGATAGTTTGCCCTTTTTAAGTCTGCTGGACCTATAGATATCTAATCCATATTCATCAATTGCCTACTCCAGTGCATGCATGACTTTGCATCTGTATTTTAGTATGCCTTTTGATGTTCATAAACAGGAAGTTTATGTTTCTCCTCTTGAAAAAAAAATCATGTAATATAAACTGTGATGATAAGTCTTTTACTCCTGGATTTGGATGGCTAACCTTATCTGTTAACTGAGACATGGAATTCTGTTACATATAACTGGATGTGTAGTCGTGTTTGTGAGGTAATATGCTATTTAGTGTAATACATCGTTACAATCTTATTGGCTTTAGATGTTGGTTGATTATTCATATTTACTGTAGGTTGGTATTTAGCTTATGAATATTTACTGCAGGTTGGTTGACACAGCAGTCAAAACTTCTCGTAGTGGTTATCTTCAGCGTTGTCTTATCAAAAGTCTCGAATCATTAAAAGTCTCATATGATCACACAGTACGTGATGTTGATGGATCAATCATACAGTTTTGCTATGGAGAAGATGGAGTTGATGTGCTCAAAACTAGCTTTCTAGACGACAAATTCAGGGAGCTTTCTGATGTAAAACACTAAGTCCTGATGAAATTATGTCTGCCTTAATTATATGGTGTGCCTTTTGTCCATGCAATTGTTGATGCAATTATTTATCGTTTTCCCAACTTACAGAATAGAAGAGCTCTCCTTGGCAAGCTTGATAGCCACAATGACAAGCACCTGTTATTAAATCCAAATGGATACATTTCTGAATTGCCTGAGAAGCTGATTGAAAATGCAATGGAGTTTCTAAAATCCAAAAGAAATGAGAAAGGTCGTTATGACATTAAAGAGAAAGAGCTAATGAAGTTACTGAAAGTCAAGTACATATCTAGTCTTGTAGATCCTGGGGAAGCTGTTGGTGTGGTTGCTGCTCAATCCATAGGAGAACCATCAACACAGATGACGTAAGATCTTCTATAGACTTTCTCTCTGTGGTTTTTGATTCACTATGTATTCCAAGTATGTACTTGGTGTATTCTAGATAGGTTATTTATGTATCCAGTGCCTGGTTAGTTTCTTGAGAAAAAAACAGTTTTGGCTACTTTTTGAACCATAGTCTAAGTAAAATATAATGACTATACATACCACAGAATGCATAGATATTTCTGTGATGGTACTTGATTATGAGAACTAAAATGAGCTATATCTAAAAATTAGTTTGTGTGCCAAGATTAAATGAAGATGAGATATATAAAAAAAAGCTAGATTTGTAGCTAATCTCTCGGAAAATATACACGTTATTTCAAATTTCTTTGAACTAATTTTTGTTTGACCAAAGGCCACCCAATAGGCATCTTCCATTGTTGCTGTAGTGACTACACTTTATTTGATCATTCGTCTTTATTACGCTCTTATCTAAGAACTTGTTCAACATTTCTGTGATAAGATGACTAACTTTGTTTGCCTCGCCCCTTCAGGCTCAACACTTTTCATCTCGCTGGACGGGGTGAGATGAATGTTACGCTTGGTATTCCTCGTTTGAAAGAACTTCTAATGACTGCATCGGCTAAAATTAGTACACCTTTTATGAAGTGTCCTCTGCTTGAAGATAAGACTTGGTGAGCTTTATTTGTTTTTTACTTTGAAGATGGCTCATGCTAGTATTCTCTTAGGTTGATTTATGTAATTTACGTGAGTCTGTACACATGTTTCCTGCATTTCTCATTGCCTGCTGAATATGATACGGGGCAAATAGAGATCTTGATCAAACTATACTTAAACTTTTGCACCACACTAGCATGATATAAAGGGACTAATTTTCTGCATATAGGGATGATGATGAAGAAGAAATGGATGATAAATTAAAGAAGGCCCGTGATGCTGAACGATTGGCTGCTAAATTAAGGACGATTGATGATGCTGAACGAATTGCTGCTAAATTAAGGAGGGTTCGTGTAGCTGACATTGTAGAGAGAATTGAAGTATGCACAGTTCCTTTTCACAACAATAATGGTTGTGTTTCAACCCTGTATAAGTTACAGTTGAAACTCTACCCACAAGGGCTATATCCACGTCAGTCAGAACTTACAGTAGAAGAGTGCCATGAAACCTTGAGAACTGTTTTTATTGATGCAATGGATCTTGCTATCAGCAAACATTTAGATTTGCTACACAAAATTAATGAGATCCAGGCAGTTAAGTCAAATGATATGGAGAGTCAACGGTCTGATGGAGTCGAAGAATCTGAAAATGGACCTACTGATGAAGACAATGGTGTGAGCGATGGTGAAAATGAGGATGATTTGGGAGCTGATGCAGAAAAATGGAAACGGCAAGAGATAGATGAGATGGAGTATGATGATGATGCTGAAAAGGAAGAGGGTTTTGATATGGATAGTGAATCTGAAGAAGATACCAAATCTAAACCTGAGAGTGAAGATCATCAAGCAAAATTAGATGAAGAGTTAGAAGAGTCTGAGGAAGGACATGTGCTAGATTCTAGCAACAAGGGGGAAAATTTAAAAGCTAAGCAAGCAACAGCCAGACTCGAAGATGAAATGAATGAAGCTGAGGATGAAAAGGCGCAAGTGACCATAAAGTTCAAGAAAAACATAAAATGGACTATTCATTATGAATCAACAGGTTTAAATTTTGAGGTTCACTACGCTTTGCAAGAGCAACCTCATATTCTGTTAGCCCAGGTACTTCTTTATATACAGTACAACTTACATTTTGCACCTCACATTGTAACATAGGTTGAATCATCTTAATAGTTCGCCCTGTGCATATAATTATGCTTTGCTTTGTACTATATTGATGGCTTGTTTGAATTTCTTTTCCAGATTGCTCAGAGAACAGCTAGGTCTGTTTTTGTCAAGGCCTGTAAGAATATTGATCGATGTGAAGTGAATAAACCAAAGAAGATAGATAATAATACGATAAATACTCCCATCACTCTACAAACAGCAGGGGTGAACTTTGAAGTATTCCATAAGTTAGTGGACTATCTCGATATCAATGAGGTCAGATCCAATGATATACACGCTATGTTGAACACATATGGGGTAGAGGCTGCAAGGGCAACCATCATTGGGGAAGTGAAGGGCGTATTCGGTGCTTATGGTATCCATGTTGACATGAGGCATCTGAACTTGATTGCGGATTTCATGACCTTCGACGGCGGTTACCGACCGATGAGCAGGCTAGGGATGGGCCAGTTCAGCACCTCGCCATTTGGTAAGATGACTTTTGAGACGGCAACCAAGTTTATTGTGGAAGCAGCTTCTCATGGAGAGTCTGACACACTGGACGGCCCTTCGGCAAGCGTCTGTCTGGGGAAACCTGTTAAGGTGGGGACGGGTTCCTTTGGCTTGCTGCAGAATTTTTCCCTGGAGCAACCTGTTGCGATGTAAGCATACATGTAGCATCATCAGCCTGTTTGCTTTACTGGATTAGTCCAATTTTGATGGAGGCTGCCATAGAGCAGTAGGAATGTGTTACATATACGGTACTTTTTGCTAGCAAGTGCAGCAAGTTATGTCAGTTCTCAGTTGTGTTTGTGTAGCAGGAAACGAACATGTGAACACTGATACTCCCTTTGGTAGTAGTATGGACATTAGTCTCTGTGTAGACTGTGTGGAGTATCAGGCTGGCAGCAGCAGTAGCAGCATGATCTTGGTTTCTTTGCCATTTTAGATGCATTTCAGCACCCTTGTTTTTTCTGCCTTTAAACCCAAATCCGATAGCCACTTTGCCGTTGCTGTCTGCATGAGGTTAAGATGGCAGCTGAGGGGGAATATATCTAGGACTCCAGCTGCAATATCTTTTCTATAATTGAGTGTGCAAGACAGCATCCTCTGATTCAGGGCCTGTTTAGATCCCTGGCAAAAAATTTTACCCTGTTATATCGAATGTTTAGACATATGTATAGAGTATTAAATATATGGAAAAAAACTAATTACACAGATTATGTATAAATTGCGAGACGAATCTTTAGTGTCCCGCCCAGCGGATCCCTCGATGCGACACGTTGCGGGCTTTCTGTCCTGGCCCATCCCACTTTGGGCTTCACGGAAGCTCCCGCTGCCGATCACAATTTCGTTCTCTCTAATAAAAAAAGCAGACCACGAGCATCGCAAATACACCCGTTTATCAATTAATGCTAGCTGCTGCATTGCTTGCATCGCAAATTCGCATAGATGGACGGATGCTGCATTGCTTGCATGGGGGTGAAAACGCTAGGAAACGGTCGAAATTTACGATACCCAAAAAGGGTAATGGTCAGAAACAACGGTACTCCTTATACAAAAATGATGCTCAGGCGATCGAGTTCATCGCATATATCCTTCCGGACTATCCTTTAAAAAACATCCATCTCTATAGTGAAGAAAAAAATAACTTTTATACATGTGTTCTACATACATATGAGTAGATGGATCTCCTTCTTCTCCCTTGTGGTTCTCTATCTCTGCTCTCTTTATGGCTGACGAGCTGTGCCTTTTATAGGCGGTAGCGGCGTATGCGAGACCCAGCGCCGCCAGCCTCTATACGGTTGCGTGATCCGATATCTCCGCACAGCCGCGCGCGATGGATATATACTATCCGGCAGTTTGTTTGGATGGATAGAGCTTGACCGTGCTTATCTTCTGATCGGTTTGTTGCTTCGATCAACTTGTAGATGAGGCATAGCCGCGTACACGTACGCACTTTTTGAAGTAGTTGGTGGTGCGTCAGGATGCCATCGACGTTGGTGATGAAAGATGGGGTCGATGCAACCGTTGACCTTAGTGAAGTAGACAAACTCGTGCCGGGATGCCGTCGGCGCCGTAGTAGGATGAGGGCGCCAAGTTGCCCTCGATCTTGCCGGAGTAGATGATGTCATGTCGAGAAGCCATCGACAATGTAGAGGGACGGTGGGATTGGTGTAGACCTAGTTTGGATAGAGCAGGTGATGAAGTGCCAGAAAACCGTCGGCGATGTAGATGGGAGACAGGTTGGTTCTGCTGAAGTAAATGATGACATGCCGAAATGTCGTCAGCGATGTAAATGGAAGACTTGGTGATGCGGCCTCCAATCTGGTTGAAGTAGATGATGTCATGCCGGAATGACGTCGACAGTGTAAATTGGGTATGGGTGGCATTGCCCCCAATCACGTTGAAGCAGATGATGAAGTGTCGTGAAGCCATTGATGGTGTAGACGGAAAATGGGTAGGTGTTACTCCCTGTCTTTATGAGGTAGGTGACGTCACGTCAGGATGTCGTCAGTGTTGTAGACGGAATATTGGGTGGCGTTGCCCCTAATTTTGTAAGTGAGTGCTGGTAAGCCATTAGCAGTATAGATGAAAGATGTGATTAATGTTGCTTCCCGTCTTGATGAGGTTGGCAATATCATGCCAAGGTGCGTCGGTGTTGTAGTACAACATGAATATGGACTATTCGGATTTGGAGACAGAGGAATTGAAGTACTAAATTCACATGGATTGGATGCGCCAACCGTTGTCGTTCGGTTACTGCAGAGCGAGTACCCTCGACGTCACACACACACACGGCGACGGACAGCGACGGCACGGCGCGTACCGCCCGGTCGGCAGCGGCGACGGCGGGGCAGAGCGCGGTGGCTGTCACGGCCGGCCGGCCATGGACGCAACGCACGAGATCCGACAGCTATCATCAGCTGAGCTGAGCTAGCTAGCCTGTCTGCACCAATGCACATGCAATCATATCTCACCCGGCCCTGGATCGTTCGATCACATTCTCCGATTCGCAATTTTGCAATGAATTAATTGATAATGGATTTCACGAACGTGCAAAAGCAAAAGGATTGCACGTCAATATATTAGAAGAAAAAAAGTTATAGTTACACAACGCAATCAGCTAGACCGACCAATTTATGCTAGAGAAGGGAAAAAGCTTAGAAAATTACGACGGCTAAACATAAACTCTAAGTAATGGGAAGAATTAATCGATAATGGATGGATATAGGTGTGAGGATACGTACGGGCTGGCGATCGATGCATTATGCCATCCTTTGCTGCTGCTGATGCTGGCATGACTCCACTGTTGTTCGCCATGAGAAAGATCTGTCCTTTTGCTAAGTACTACCACAACTCCATCGTATCATTCACCAGCAAAACGACACGCACCGCACTCATCATAATCATATGGAGTATATCTATATCTCACTGGAGGTGTGTGTTCTAGCTTAGCTAGCTAGCAAGAGCTGGATTCTGTGCACAACGCAACAAACTAACCAAACCAAAATGTAGCCCGTATAATATACATATATGTATGTACACCGATCATGTATACATCGATCGAGTACAATTAATTAATATTCCGTTAAATTTGCCGCTTTGCTGGCCCTCTGCATGCAGATTCTTCTCCAGATCGATCGATGGAGACTGTGTGGAATTAATCTGACGCAAGTAAATGCTTCCACCTGCCGCGATCTAATTAATAAACTAAAAAATATATATACATATATCATCGATCGTCGTCGTTTTGTTCGTACCCACAACTGCAAATATAGCAAGCAAAGCACATGCATGATCGATCAAGCATCCAAGCCTCTCTCACATGCTCGTCAGATCATATATACTGTGCCCTGAGATCGATATTGACAGAGAGAGAAACCCAATTATAATCAAGAACAAAGACTGATATATTACTGTGCATTAATCGTACTAGCAGCTAGTGTATGTGTTCAATTCGATTTCGCCGTCGCCGACGGCGATCAAGGCGATCGAATCGATCGATCGAACGACCCCACCAACACATAACCACGCATCCTGTTCATCCACAGTCCTTGCATTACATCGCATTGCATTATGCATGGTAGCTGCATCCACTATACTCATCATCATCATTCCGCTCCATCGCGTGCGTGTGTGTACGTACGTGCAGCTACCTAGCTAGATTAATTATCTCGATATGGATGCAGATTTGCAGAGCGAGAGGCAAGAGGGCAAACAGTCTCTAGTCTCTACACCTGCATAAGCTCAGGAAGAGAGTAATTGTGCTGTCCCCGGCTGGTCGATCGATCGACGACGACGACGCAGCTAGCAGAAGAAGTACTGTACCTTGCTGTGTTGGCGTCTGAATTCGATCTGATCGATCGAGGTGAAGAGTGATCAGGGCTAATTGCGAGCTAGGCGATTTATTCTGGGATATGGTGATAGATATGCAGAAATTAATTGAAGATTCAGACACGGAGCCGTATGTATATATCGATATCAACAGTTTCCTCGATCTGATGCTGCGTGGCTGCACTACCTGCATATTGCATCATTGCATGGATGCATATATAATGATGAGTTTATGACCGGCTGGTCCGGTTGGGTTTTCGATCTAGGTCATATCGATCGATCTCTGTGGGTCATGGTGTCTACCCAGATGCATGCTCTGCATGCAGGTGGCCACTTTTGAGAGATGCAGGAGATTGTTGACTACAACCTTTTCCATTTTCAGTCTGGAATTTTGTTGCTGTTAAAATTAATTTTCTCCAAGATTCTTGCTCCGACGAACTTCAGCTTACGAGTCGCACTCGGTTTAACGTAGTTCTTGTTTTGACGTACTGTACCCCCCACCTTCCAGTAACCGCGCACTTCAGCAGGTTGCTGATGTATGCTACTTCCTCCATTCCAAAATATAATAATTTTTAGCCTTTAGGATTTATCTCAAAATATAGCAATTTTTTCATCAAGATTCTATTCCCAACCAATTACAACCCTAGCTTTACCATTCAATTTTCCTAACTACCTCCACTTATCATCCAATCATAACCTTTCTTATTTAATTCTATCAACTTTCTTAATAACTGTGTTCAACCCTAAAAATCCTTATAATCTAGGACGGAGGTAGTACTTTAATTTTCTCGTACAAGACTTTTAAGCTTCCAAAGAAAAAAAATTCTTGCTCCGGTGAACTCCACCGAGCTAGTCAATTAAATTCCCCTCTACTTTGCGGGCAACAATGTTATACTCCTCCGTTTTATATTATAAGTCGTTTGATTTTTTGTTAGTTATTTTTTAAGTTTAAGCATGTTCGTAGAAAAATATACTAATATTTTCAACATAAAATAAAAATATTATTAAAATATATTTAATGCTAAATTTAATGAAACTAATTTAGTGTTGTACTTGATGTTGCTAAATTTTTCTATAAATTTGATCAAACCTAAAGAACTAGCTAGGTGGCCTGCGCAATTGCGCGGCTAGCACCCAAACAAAATCATATATTTTTTAGTATGATTTTTACTTAAAATTTATTAAATAGTTATCTCATTGTCTTAAGACTTTGAAAGACGAAACCTTATCATCCTCATGTTTCTAATTATATAGTTTTTAAAAGTCACACCAATTGCTACCCCTTATGTCATCTCCTTCTTTATTTGCTTGCTCGATCTACCATTATTTCTATTCATTCTTTTTGGAACCTTTAAAAATTGGATTTTATAGTTTTTAGAGTTTATTGTCACGTTGGGTTTCATTTTTATAATTTCAAAATGTCCCGTCAAACGTTGCCATTATACTCCTCTACGGCCCGTCCACTGTCTCTTCTCTTTATTATCATTGAGATTTTAAAAATCGAACATAATTATTGTTTGGGTTCATTTTTACTTTCTAAAAATCCCGCCAAACCGTCAGCGGCTTTGCCATTGTACTCCTCTACGGCTCGCCCGCTGCCTCCCTTCTTTATTGTCATTGAGATTTTAAAATCGAACATGATTATCATTGGTTTTTTTTTTACGTTT